CMWKYCCAGCCTGAGCCCCGTTCTGRCCCACATGGGGCTGGTGAGCTGCARTAATCCCTGCTGGGGAGCTGTGAGCCCAGCTCAGAGACATCCAAGTGCTCAGCATCCCTGGCTGTGGGACTGATGGGAATGGGSKCCCTCCCTCTTGTGACTTCTCAGCTGGGCTGAGGAGATATCCTGGGCTGCCAGTTCCCCCCAGCTGGACAGTCAGCACCATTTGTGTGTGGGTATTGATAATGTCAGGAGGAGCTGCTCAGCCTGGATTCACTGATTAAAAACAGCAGAAAATGACAGAATGATGGAATCATAGAATGGTTTGGGCTGGAACAGACCTTAAAGATCATCTGGTTCCAGCCCTCCCTGCATGGACAGGGATCCATCCACTAGACCAGGTTGCTCAAAGCCCTGTCCAAGCTGTCCTTGAACACTTCCAGGCTCCTACAGACTCTTACTGAAACAGGGATATAAACCACACACCTCCTCCTTGCCTGCTCCATGAAATAGTGGGGAGCTGAGAGGCAAACCCATCCCACACTGAAGCTCTTTCTCAGCCAAAGGAGATTTGGCATTTATGGCAGATGGAGCGTGGGATGACAGAAAGACCATTGGAAAGGTTGTGTGAAGGACTGGCAGAAACCTGCTGGAAAATCTGGGTTAATCAAGAGCTGTGAATCCAAGGAAGAGCTGCTTTCATGGAAACTTCTCCCACTAACGAACTTTCTTGCCTTTAAGGTACCAGTGAAACGCTCATTGAAATACTGGGGCCCCAAGGCCAAGGGTTCAAGCTTGGCTGCAGATCACATGGATGGTTCCCYRAACCTACTGTCCAGTGGGTTACTGAGCATGGCCAGGGGCTCTTTGCAGACACTGAAATAGACCAGGACAGCAGGAAACTCTTCAGTGTGTGGAGTCGAGTCACAGTTACAGGAGGGAAAGGGGGAAAAGTCACCTGTGAAATCCTGAACCCCCTGGTGCATGTGGAGAAAAATACCACTGTGCTCCTCTCAGGTGAGTGCCATCATCCTGAGCAGTCTGCTGGAGGCTCATTGTCTCAGGAGCCCTGTGAGGCCCGTTGCAGTGCCAGGGAAGGTGACAGCTCTCCAGTCCAGCCAGACGCATCCCAGAGCACCACGGGGCACAGTGGGCAGGACAGGATGAAGTGGGAAATGAGCAGGGTCCCTCTCGCCCCCCATGCTGTGCACATGCCCAGGGAAGGCAGGCACTGCCCACCCATCTGGGACTGGGACTATTTCTCCAGTCATCTCCACAGGAAGTCTTTGAGTGGGTACTGAAATTTTGGGGAAATGTTGCCACATGACTCTCAAAAAAATCTATTTTCTTTTCAAAGATGCTGTTTTTCCACATATGTCTCCATGCTTCCCTGTCTTGTGGACACTACTTACTTTATTCCTTCTCACATTGGCTGCTGGTGCTGTTCTGGCATTTCAAGGTAAGGGTTTTTGGTTATCAGGATCTCATGTTTTCAGAAGTGAGGCCGTAGGAGGTTAATTCCTGTGAGAAAGTTCTCTGCAGAACCTGCTCTGGCAGAGGGTGTTCCTGGTGCTTTGTAGAGGAAGGCTGTGAACAGATGGCTCAGGTGAAGTTTCTGACAGTTTTACAGGCCACTTCTGGGGTTTGGTTTCACTGTTTTACTGTAAGGGATCATCTCTGAGCCCCTTGTGAGACTGGTCTGACAAGTGTGATGAAATTCCCAGTGAAGTCTTGCCCTGGCGCACAGAAGCAGCAGAGCTTCCTCACCCTGAGCTCTCTTGCAGGTAAAAGTTTCCCCTGTCTCATTTGTCACCCAGAGGCAGATGCGAGATGCCTCTGCATGCAGCTGAGAGCTGGGGTGGATCATGGCACCCAGAGGAAAGAGCAGGAAGGAGGATRGSATTGGGGGATGTTTCCTGGGGTGAATTAGAAGGGTCCCTTCCTCTGCCTCCATTGGTTTCATCCTCCCCCCAGCTTGCAGTGGAGCTTGTCCATCAGAGCTGGACCTTTTATCCCAAAAGTCTCACTGATGCCTCCCACCCTGGCAAGGGCCTCTGCAGAGATCTCTGCCTCTGCAGCCATGGCTGGGGACAGCCCGTTTCCCTGGTCCAGTGCCAGGGGTTCCAGCTCCGTGGTGTCAGAGGGCACAGCCGTGCTCAGCCCTTTCTGGRGGCCTTTGTGGGTTTGATTTTCCCCCCTGACTGGGAGCTGGAGCAGGACCCTGCCGAGCCTGGGGAAGCTGTGGCAGATGGTCACAGCCAAGAGCCCAAACCAGCCCCAGGAAACGCTTGCTCATGGCAAGACAGGACTGAGCCTTCCCTAACAGCTCTCCTGAGCTCACAGCACTCACATCTTCTGATACCTGAGCATGGAGCTTCATCTGGACCAGGACAGGTCCCCCAAGGGCTGACAAATGCCCAGGGAAGCACCACCATGATCACACAAGGGAAGGAAGAGCTGCAGCTGATGAAGCCATGGCAGATGGGGCTGTGGCAGACACCTGTGGGCACTGGCAGAGCCCACCTGACCAGGCCGTTTTGGTGACATTGGCAGAGGCTCCTGGTGGCATTTGCACTGTTGCCATTCCTGGATTTCTCAGCACCCCACGGGTTGCCCTGGCAAAGGCCTCCAGCGAGGGTTTTGTCCCAGGCAGTGTCCCCGTGCAGATGGCCCCGTGCACAGGGGACTGGACGGAGAGTGCCCAGAGGAACAGAGTGCCAGGCCAGGGCTGTGCAGGGGACACAGGGACAGGCTGGACTGTGCTCCATCCCACCCTCCCGGGGATGTCAGGCAAGCTCTTTCCCTGCAGCTGTGCTTTGGGGTGCCCTGCTTGCAGGGACATGGCTTTCCCTGGGGAAAGCTGGTGATGTTCGTGCCCAAAGCCATGTGGTGCAGCCGTGCCTTTTCCCAGAAAACAGGGAGTTTATTATCAGAAGCAGGAGKGCTGCCCACCCCATTCKGCACATCCCATKTGCCRWAAGGGYTCAGGCCTTGGGMMAGCCCTKCTCYCCTYTCCATGGYTCAGGAGSTCCYRATCAGCCTGACRAGTGTCTCCAGGGGAAACTGGGGCAGCAAAGGCACCTTTGGTTCTCAGGAACCCTTCTCTGTGAAAGCCCATCTCCTTTTCAGTCCCTGGGCTGGCCATTCCTCTGGCCTCTCTTTGCCATCTCAGAGCAAGGTGGATCCATGTGCCCAATGTCTGGGAAACATGTCACATGTTGTGCATTATATTTTGTTTCTCTGTAAGACTCTGATGGAATGGGAAGAGAACTGGTTAAGAGAACAGTGTGTGTGTGTGTGTGTGTGGTGGGGGAGTGGGGGAGCACAGTGGAGGCACCAGTGTCACCGAGGGCACAGAGTTGGGTGTCACATGTAAGGGGAGATTTTCTCAATCCCTTTGGGATTCCTTGGTCTGTCACTGCCCCAGTGCCAGACCAGTGTGTCCTGACCTTTCATGGGGATTCCATTGAACTATCCACTGGGTTGGAGGGAGGTTTGACTGAGTTTTTCAGGCACACACATCCCAAGAGTACAAGAGAATCCTCCTGGTTCTCTACACTTTATTCCCATATAATCCTCACTAGCAGTGACTGCCAGTGCCTGACTCTCTGACAATTCACAGAGTAATACACTTTAATAGTATCTGTATTCCTGGATCATTTACTGTTGTGATAGGTTAGGGTCTGAGGATTATTAGTGATGGTGAATGATTGCAAAAACATATTGTCGTGGTTTAGAATGCTGGCCAAAAGCCAGGCACCCAGAACACCTGCTCATTCGCTCTCCCCAACACCACATTGGGTAGAGAAGAACGAAGAGGAAAAAAAATATTAACAAAAGGGTTCATGAGTTGAGATAAGGAGTGGGGAGGAAACTCTTGATGGACAAAACAGTCACTACTTAAATTATCAAGTGAATTTATTACTAACAAAATCAGAGGAGGAGAATGAGAAATAAAATAAAACCCTCAGACACCGATCTTCTCCCCACTCCCTCCCCCCTTCCCACTGACTGTGCAAAGCAGCGGTGGGTGAACAGAGTGTGGGGTTGGTCAGCTCATCTCCGGATCATCTGTGGCTGCTGAGGGAGAGGAGTCCTTCCCTTGCGTTGCCATGGGGTCCCTCCCACGGAAGACAGTTCTCTGTGAACCTCTCCGATGTGGTTCCACTCTCACGAGCAGCAGTCCACACACATCTGCTGCATCGTGAGTCCCCCCACAGGCAGACAGTCATCCCAAAACTGC